AAGAGGAGCTGAATAACTCTATAGTTGAGAATGAAATAATTGGGGAAAAATTAAATCAGTCTAAATCAGTAGTTCCACCAACTGAAAACTTCACTTCATCTACACCTCAAAGAGTAGAGATTGATTGTTTTCAACAAAATGTGCCGGGTCAAGTCATAAATAATCAACCAAACTCATGTACAGTTGTAAATAGTAGCCTAAGTCCTAGTAGCCTTTTTACAAAGTTGTCAAACCCATTGGAAATTTATTTAAAAAATTTTCCTGTGTGTAATGGTTTAGAAACAAACACATTGTTGCAGTTTTTGAGAAACCTAGTTACTGTCCGAAATGAAACTTCTTTATCTGAGCAAGATTTGTATGAGATTCTACCAATTTATTCTACAGCACCATTAGTGAATAAAATATTAGAATTCAAAAGGGAATCAAAATCAATTGATTTGTTGCATGCTAATATAATCACTACATTTTTGCCAATCACCTTAAGGGAAAAGCTGAAACAAGATTTAATTTTTCGACCTCAAAAACACCTTGAACCTTTGTCTATATATGTGCATGAAATAAAAATAAACCACCAGGTATTAAAGTGTGATTTAACTGAGAGTCAACTTGTTAGTTTTATTAAGAATGGAATACATCCTGATTTGCGCAACAAACTAATATTTGAGAAGAACCCTGAAACATTTTTAGACTTAGATCATCTTTGTATAAGTTTAAATAATGTAACATACAATGATTACCTCAGAAATCAAGGTTTTCCAGTTAGTAATAGTAGTGTTAGCAAGCCTTATCTATCAACTGATGATAAGCCTAGGATGGATAAACCTAACCCAGGAGTTCAACGACCTAAAAGTCACTACTCAAATCGTAACAATGAGAGGCCTGTTTGTTTCAAATGTCAAAGAGTAGGTCATATTGCTCGTAATTGTTACAGACCAGATCCAAAAAACTAGTTAAGCCAGGAAAAACACGTAGCCTAGACTACAAATCTGTTTTTCCGGACGGCAAGAAAGAATTCGGAAATAATAAACCTGTATATAGTTCTCATAGTCCCAATTTTAAGTCTGAACTGAGAAGAGTTGTTAAGGATTTTAATAAAATAAATTCACCTGGATTAAAGAAAGTAAAAGCTAAAACTGTAACACATTTACCCTGTATTTCTGTGGATTTAGGAAACAAATTAAGTGTGGGAGCTTTGTTAGACACTGGAGCTAGTCAAAACTTTATAAGCTTGGATTTATACAACAGATTATTGGGAAATAAATTAATTATGAGTGAAAATACTTGGCAGGGAACCATAGTTGCTGCAAACAATGAACCTTTGAACATAAATAAGCAATGTGAAACTTTGATTAAGATAAAATCATTTACCTGGAAACAAACATTTTTAGTGGTTGAGTTAAAATATTTTGACATGATTTTAGGATACCCTTTTATGTGTGCAAGCAAGTTAAACCTAAATATGGATCGACAAATGGGTTATTTTACATTTAAACCTGAAGATGAAATTAAGTTAATTCCAAGTACAAACCTGAGTGAATTAAGCTTAAGTAGTATTAAAGTAGGAGATGTTGAAATGTGTGAAGAAGCTGAGAAGTTAATTAAGAATTTTCCTACTGTTTTTACGGATAAGATAGGATCAGCACTTGATTTGGAAATTGAGCTTAAAGTGACGGATGATAAACCTGTTAGTATACGCCCTTATTTTTTAAGTCCACCCAAAGTAGAGAAGATGAAAGCTATAATTGATGACTGGATAAAACAAGATGTCGCGGAAGTTTCCACTAGTCCATATAGCGCCCCTGCATTTTTGACTCAAGATGACAGACTTGTAATTAACTACTCTGAACTCAATAAGAAGTTAATCAATGTAGATTACCCGCTAGGAGATATACAGAATATGTATCAGCATCTAAAAGGAGCTAGATATTTTACAGTCATAGATTTAAACAAAGCATTTTTACAATGTCCCATAGCTTTAGAATCCAGAGATTTAACATCTTTTAGTACAATTTTTGGTAAATTTCGTATGAAGAGAATTCCATTTGGATTGAAAATAGGCAGTAGCGTACTATCACATTATTTGGACAAAATATTTAATGACATCAAATTTCAGTATATGATTAACTTTTGTGATGATATTGTTGTATATAGCCCTGATAAGAGAAACCATATTGAGCATGTTACAGAAGTGATTAAGAGATTAGCACAACACGGACTTACAGTAAATCCACAAAAAGTCAAATTCTTTTGTAAGGAAATAAGTTTTTTAGGACATATTATTAAACAAGATAGCATTACTATAGATCCCGAGCGAACTAGTTCATTAATGAAATTTCCTGCTCCAAAAACTGTGAGGCAAGTGCGACAGTTTATAGGAATGTGTGGTTATTGGTCTCGATATATTCCAAAGTATGCTGAGATATGTTTACCTCTGTTTGCGCTGAAAAAGAAAGGTGTAAAATTTAAGTGGAATGAGGAGTGTCAAAATGCATTTGAAACCTTAAAGAGTAAGATAGCAAATCCGCCTATACTACAAATGGCCGATTTTTCTAAAGAATTTGAATTGCATACCGACGCAAGCGACCTAGCAGCTGCTGGTGTTTTATTGCAAAGAAATGAGGAGGGGAATAAAATGCCTATTGCTTACTATTCTAAGAAATTCACACCTACTGAGATGCGTTATAGCACTTACGAAAAGGAAGCTTACAGTGTAATATTGTGTGTAGAGAAATGGCATCAATTCTTGGAAGTAAGAAGTTTTAAATTAGTTACTGATTGTCAAGGTCTTAGTTTCATGCTCAAATCTCGAAAAAGCCGTGGAAGATTGTCTAGATGGTTTGAAAGGTTGTTTAGTCTTCCATTCACAGTTGAACATGTAAAAGGTTCGGAGAATATAATAGCTGATGCGTTATCACGTATGTTTAGTGGAGAGAAAGAGAGTGAGACGGAAATTCACGAAACTAATCTGTTAAGCAATATCAACAATGAAGTCTATTTTTGTAATGTGTTAAATGAAATACCATTGGATCTTAAGGACATTAAAGTACATCAAGAGAGCGATGAAGAGTGTAAGAAAATCATTGAAAGCATCAAGAATAAGACTAATAATGAAAATTATACCCTGAAAAATGAAGTTTTATTGTTTAAAAAGAAGATTTATTTGCCCAAGAAACTGTTTAGTGTAATATTCGCATTCTATCACAACTCATTAATTGGTGGTCATATGGGAATTTTTAGGACTCAAAGTAAAGTAAATGAAAGTTTTCACCATCCTGAATTAAATGAATTCGTAAAAGGTAAAGTCCGTGAATGTAAGATCTGTCTGATGTCTAAGTCGGAACAACGTAAGTTTGAAGGTCGACTGATATCTGTTCCTGTAACTCAAGCTCTAAACACTGTGTTTATTGACCTAGCTGGACCATTTCCCCGATCAAATAAACTCAATCAGTACATTTTAATTGTGGTCGATGCATTTACCCGTTTTGTATGGTTGTACCCTCTGAAGGATTGCAAGACAAAATTCATCATAGAAAAATTGAAGATAATTTTTGATAGTTTCTCAGTACCCCGAATACTTGTGTCTGATAATGCCAGTTATTTTACATCCAAGGAATTTAAGAAATTCATGTTCAATAACTATGTGGAACACAGAAAGTTAGCTGCGTACAGAGCAAACGGAAATTTGTCGGAACGATATTTGAGGGAGACTAATAATGCTTTACGGAGTTTTTATGGTAATCAACATGATAAATGGGATTCAAATCTGGGACTGATTGCCACAAGTTTGAATACTGCTGTAAATAGTTCGACTAAATCAACTGCTTTTGGTTTAATGTTTGCCCATCCTTGTAACAATGCACTGACAAACTTATGGAATGTTAATGACATTATTTCGGAGAAGTTAACTCCTGATCAAAGGAGGGAAAATTTGGAGAAAGCCATAAATAACGTCAGAAGAAGCATTGCCAAAAATCAAAGAAGGGAGAGATATAGCTATCCTCGGAGAAACCATCCATTTAAGTTGAATATGGAAGTGTACATCAAGACACATTATTTAAGTAATGCAGCGAATAAATTCAGCAAGAAATTAGCACCTAGATACGTTGGACCTTACATAATACGCTATTTTCTGAGTGATTCAACAGTACTAGTACAAAATCCTAGCAAGTTAGAAGACGTGAAGAAAATTCATATAATTGATTTAAAGAAGAGTTAAGTAGTGAAGAGGACCAAAAGTAACCAATGTATTGATGGAAGAGGAAATGTGAAAAATGGAATTAAATGGAAGATTACGGAAGACTGAAGCTAAATTGGTCTTTATGAAATGTCTGTAAAGTAGAAGTTAGATTTGTTTAGTTGAAATATTAATTAGTTAAGGGATTTTAGCAAGCTAAGAGGGAATTTGAAATTTTGTAAATTAGTACTGTGGGAGTTGTTTTAGGTTCTTAAGAATTTTTCAAAGTTTTAAAGTGTTTTTAGTAAGAGAGTGTATAAATGTGTATGTATTGGTGAATGTGTGAGTATTTGTGGCAGCAAAAGGTAGTATGAATCTGTATGAATCTAAAATGGAGTCTGAACGTAGTGTATGAGTGGGATTTTTACTAAAGGACGCACAATAACATTTTGATTAATTTTGCACTTGTAAACAGGGAAAATAACACAGAACACAAAACACTTCACACGAAACACACGAGGGAACATAAAAACAGGGAATATAACACACTGGGATAAATAAATTAAGGGAAAACTAAAGAAAAACACAGCACACGCAAACGACATAACTAAACTAAACTGGAGAAGTGAAAGTTATTTGTCTTGTCTGGAGTTGATGTTGGGAGGGGTCAGTGAACTGTGAGCGGATGTGAAGAGTTCAAAAGAGATTTAAATAGGCTTGTTTAAGATCGCTTAAGTAATTGGGGGTTTTAAAGAAAGGTTTTATTTTAAGGTATAATTTTTGTAAATAAGATTGATAATATTTGAATTGTCGTAGGAAAATGAAATGGTTCAAAATGAAAAATTGTGTAAATAGAAGTTGTTGTTTTGAGTAGAAGGTTCTGTAAGGTGCTGTAAACGTGTGGAGGCTATTTGAACTAGGAGTTAGTGTTTGTAGAATTTGTTGATAGGTAGCGCTAGTTGAAATGTCAAACGGAGTTAGAGTTTTATTATTTGTTTTAAAAGGTTTGTTTATTTTCTTTTGTAGAGTTGTTGTTTTAAAAGGAAATGTAAATATTAATTTTGAGAAAGAGTGTATAATTTTGTTTATGTAATTTCAAGTTAAGGAGGGGAAATTCTGTACCGATGGTAGTTAGTTTTTATTTGAAATAACAAAACAAAATCAATATTATTTAATCATTGGCTAGAAAGATTAAGAAAGAGTGACCAGCAGTTTAGAAGTTTTAGTTTTGTAGGGTTGGTAGTGGTTAGTGATAACCAGGTTCAACTTTGTCAGTTTTAAGTTCACTGGAAATATGGTCATCTAAGTTGTGGTTGCTGTAGAAAATTGTAAGTAGTTTTAATATTGTTTAGTAATAAGATTTTAGCTGATTTATTGTACATAGCTTTGTAGAAATCACTTTTGGAAAAAGATGAAAAGGAATGAATAGTTTTCAAACCAATTTTAATGCATTTCACAAGAAAAGAAAACAAGTAAAGTTTATACAGACCTGTTGAGTTTTGTTCTAGGAGAAGCACATTTTCACAAGAAGTTGTAAAGATCTTAAATCTACTTTTAATTATTAGAATTTATAGAGAATAGTTTTTATTGGGTTTGTGTGATGTTTTCAGACAGAAATCAACCACTTCTTGGTACTACCACTTCTTGTTCACCTTCTTATGATTGGTCCAGTAGCTTTTTGCACCACTTCTAGTTTGCATGGTATCTGCTAGTGCCTGTTCTGACCATTAAACCAGTGTCTCTGTTTAAAGTAAGATCTTTCCACTATTTTATTATTTAGTATAATTTTTGGAAGTAACAACTGGATATTTAATTTCATTTGGAAAGTGTATTTTGAGAAATTTGACATCCGTAAAATAAATGCATCTTTGGCCTACTTTGTCTTTTAATTTATCTCACTTCTACTACCAGCTTAAATTAGATTCATCCTAAATTAAAGTATACTACCTAATTGGCTACAAGGTAGGGGTATAATGTTCCTTGTTCCATGTTCCATATTGGTCAATGCTCTTTCTCCTTGTTCTCTGTTCCGTGTTTCTTGTTCCATGTTCCATGTTCCATGTTCCATGTTCCATGTTCCATGTCCTATGGTCAATGCTCTATGTTCTATGTTCCATGTTCTATGTTCCATGCTCTATGTTCCATGTTCCATGTTTTATGTTCAATGTTCCATGTTCCATGTTCCATGTTCCATGTTCCATGTTCCATGTTCCGTGTTCCATGTTTCATGTTCAATGGTCCATGTTCCATATTCCATGTTGCATGTTCCATGTTCCATGTTCCATGTTCCATGTCCCATGTTCCATGTTCCATGTTCCATGTTCCATGTTCCTTGTTCCATGTTCCATGTTCCATGTTCCATGTTCCATGTTCCATGTTCCATGTTCCATGTTCCATGGTCAATGTTCCATGTTCCATGTTCCATGTTCAATGGTCCTTGTTCCATGTTCCATGTTCAATGTTCCATGCTCTATGTTCCATGTTCTTATGTTCTATGTTCCATGTTCCAGGTTCCATGTTTTATGTTCCAATATCTATGTTCCATGTTCCATGTTCTATGTTCCATGTTCCATGCTCCATGTTCTATGTTCCAAGTTTCATGTTCCTTGTTCCATGTTCCATGTTCTATGTTCTATGTTCCATGTTCTATGTTCCATGTTCCTTGTTCCATGTTCCATGTTCCTTGTTCCATGTTCCATATTGGTCAATGCTCTTTCTCCTTGTTCTATGTTCCGTGTTTCTTGTTCCATGTTCCATGTTCCATGTTCCGTGTTCCATGTTCCATGTTCCATGTTCCATGTTCCATGTTCCATGTTCCATGTCCTATGGTCAATGCTCTATGTTCTATGTTCCATGTTCTATGTTCCATGCTCTATGTTCCATGTTCCATGTTTTATGTTCAATGTTCCATGTTCCATGTTCCATGTTCCATGTTCAATGTTCCATGTTTCATGTTCAATGGTCCATGTTCCATATTTCATGTTGCATGTTCCATGTTCCATGTTCCATGTTCCATGTTCCATGTTCCATGTTCCATGTTCCCTGTTCCATGTTCCATGTTCCATGTTCCATGTTCCATGTTCCATGTTCCATGTTCCATGTTCCATGTTCCATGTTCCATGTTCCATGTTCCATGGTCAATGTTCCATGTTCCATGTTCCATGTTTAATGGTCCTTGTTCCATGTTCCAGGTTGCATGTTCCTTGTTCCATGTTCCATGTTCCATGTTCCATGTTTCATGTTCCATGGTCAATGCTCTATGTTCTATGTTCCATGTTCTATGTTCCATGCTCTATGTTCCATGTTCCATGTTCAATGTTTCATGTTCCATGTTCCATGTTCCATGTTCCATGATCTATGGTCCATGTTCCATGTTCCATGTTGCATGTTCCATGTTCCAAGTTCCATGTTTCATGTTCCATGTTCCATGTTCCATGTTCCATGTTCCATGGTCCATGTTTCATGTTCCATGGTCCATGTTCCATGTTCCATGTTCCATGGTCCATTTTCTATGTTCCATGGTCCATGTTCCATGTTCCATGGTCCATGATCCATGTTCCATGTTCCATGGTCAATGTTCCATGTTCCATGTCCCATGTTCCATGTTCCATGTCCTATGTTCCATGCTCTATGTTCTATGTTCCCTGTTCTTTGTTCCAAGTTTCATGTTTTATGTTCCATGTTCCATGTTCCATGTTCCATGTTTCATGTCCTATGGTCAATGCTCTATGTTCTATGTTCCATGCTCTATGTTCCATGTTCCATTTTCCATGTTCAATGTTCCATGTTCCATGTTCCATGTTCTTTGTTCCATGTTTCATGTTTTATGTTCCATGTTCCTTGATCCATGTTCCATGTTCCATGTTCCATGTTCCATGTTCCTTGTTCCATGTTCCATGGTCAATGCTCTATGTTCCTTGTTCCAAGTTCTGTGTTTCTTGTTCCATGTTCCATGTTCCACGTTCCATGTTCCATGTTCCATGTTCCATGTCCTATGGTCAATGGTCTATGTTCTATGTTCCATGTTCTATGTTTCATGCTCTATGTTCCATGTTCCATGTTCCATGTTCCATGTTCAATGTTCCATGTTCCATGTTCCATGTTCCATGTTCCATGTTCCATGTTCCATGTTCTATGTTCCATGTTCCATGTTACATGTTCCATGTTCTATGGTCCATGTTCCATGTTCCATGTTCCATGTTCAATGTTCCATGTTCCATGGTCCATGTTCCATGCTCCATGGTCAATGTTCCATGTTCCATGTTCCATGTTGCATGTCCTATGTTTCATGCTCTATGTTCCCTGTTCTTTGTTCCATGTTCCAAGTTCCATGTTCCTTGTTCCATGTTCCTTGTTCCATGTTCTGTGTTCCTTGTTCCATGTTCCATGTTCCATGCTCTATTTTCCATGTTCTTATGTTCTATGTTTCATGTTCCAGGTTCCATGTTCTATGTTCCAATATCTATGTTCCATGTTCCATGTTCTATGTTCCATGTTCCATGCTCCATGTTCTATGTTCCAAGTTCCATGTTCCTTGTTCCATGTTCCATGTTCCTTGTTCCATGTTCTGTGTTCCTTGTTCCATGTTCCATGTTCCATGCTCTATGTTCCATGCTCTATGTTCCATGTTCCAATTTCTATGTTCCATGTTCCTTGTTTCATGTTCCATGTTCCATGTTCCATGTTCCATGTTCCATGTTCCATGTTCCATGTTCTATGTTCTATGTTCCATGTTCTATGTTCCATGTTCCATGTTCCATGGTACATGTTCCATGCTCCATGGTCAATGTTCCATGTTCCATGTTCCATTTTCCATGTTCCATGTCCTATGTTCCATGCTCTATGTTCCCTGTTCTTTGTTCCATGTTCCAAGTTCCATGTTCCTTGTTCCATGTTCCATGTTCCTTTTTCCATGTTCTGTGTTCCTTGTTCCATGTTCCATGTTCCATGCTCTATGTTCCATGTTCTTATGTTCTATGTTCCATGTTCCTGGTTCCATGTTCTATGTTCCAATATCTATGTTCCATGTTCCATGTTCTATGTTCCATGTTCCATGCTCCATGTTCTATGTTTCAAGTTCCATGTTCCTTGTTCCATGTTCCATGTTCCTTGTTCCATGTTCTGTGTTCCTTGTTCCATGTTCCATGTTCCATGCTCTATGTTCCATGTTCCAATTTCTATGTTCCATGTTTCTTGTTTCATGTTCCATGTTCCATGTTCCATGTTCCATGTTCCATGTTCCATGTTCCATGTTCCATGTTCTATGTTCTATGTTCCATGTTCTATGTTCCATGTTCCTTGTTCCATGTTCCATGTTCCTTGTTCCATGTTCCATATTGGTCAATGCTCTTTCTCCTTGTTCTATGTTCCGTGTTTCTTGTTCCATGTTCCATGTTCCATGTTCCATGTTCCATGTTCCATGCTCTATGTTCCATGTTCCAATTTCTATGTTCCATGTTCCTTGTTTCATGTTCCATGTTCCATGTTCCATGTTCCATGTTCCATGTTCTATGTTCTATGTTCCATGTTCTATGTTCCATGTTCCTTGTTCCATGTTCCATGTTCCTTGTTCCATGTTCCATATTGGTCAATGCTCTTTCTCCTTGTTCTCTGTTCCGTGTTTCTTGTTCCATGTTCCATGTTCCATGTTCCATGTTCCATGTTCCATGTTCCATGTTCCATGTTCCATGTCCTATGGTCAATGCTCTATGTTCTATGTTCCATGTTCTATGTTCCATGCTCTATGTTCCATGTTCCATGTTTTATGTTCAATGTTCCATGTTCCATGTTCCATGTTCCATGTTCCGTGTTCCATGTTTCATGTTCAATGGTCCATGTTCCATATTCCATGTTGCATGTTCCATGTTCCATGTTCCATGTTCCATGTCCCATGTTCCATGTTCCATGTTCCATGTTCCATGTTCCATGTTCCTTGTTCCATGTTCCATGTTCCATGTTCCATGTTCCATGTTCCATGTTCCATGTTCCATGTTCCATGGTCAATGTTCCATGTTCCATGTTCCATGTTCAATGGTCCTTGTTCCATGTTCCATGTTCCATGTTCCATGCTCTATGTTCCATGTTCTTATGTTCTATGTTCCATGTTCCAGGTTCCATGTTCTATGTTCCAATATCTATGTTCCATGTTCCATGTTCTATGTTCCTTGTTCCATGTTCCATATTGGTCAATGCTCTTTCTCCTTGTTCTATGTTCCGTGTTTCTTGTTCCATGTTCCATGTTCCATATTGGTCAATGCTCTTTCTCCTTGTTCTATGTTCCGTGTTTCTTGTTCCATGTTCCATGTTCCATGTTCCATGTTCCATGTTCCATGCTCTATGTTCCATGTTCCAATTTCTATGTTCCATGTTCCTTGTTTCATGTTCCATGTTCCATGTTCCATGTTCCATGTTCCATGTTCTATGTTCTATGTTCCATGTTCTATGTTCCATGTTCCTTGTTCCATGTTCCATGTTCCTTGTTCCATGTTCCATATTGGTCAATGCTCTTTCTCCTTGTTCTCTGTTCCGTGTTTCTTGTTCCATGTTCCATGTTCCATGTTCCATGTTCCATGTTCCATGTTCCATGTCCTATGGTCAATGCTCTATGTTCTATGTTCCATGTTCTATGTTCCATGCTCTATGTTCCATGTTCCATGTTTTATGTTCAATGTTCCATGTTCCATGTTCCATGTTCCATGTTCCATGTTCCGTGTTCCATGTTTCATGTTCAATGGTCCATGTTCCATATTCCATGTTGCATGTTCCATGTTCCATGTTCCATGTTCCATGTCCCATGTTCCATGTTCCATGTTCCATGTTCCATGTTCCTTGTTCCATGTTCCATGTTCCATGTTCCATGTTCCATGTTCCATGTTC